CTCTGTTTTCTACAATGAATACATGTCTTTGCAATATTTCAAGCTCTAAATTTTCATTAAATAGATAATTTTGGATAATTTTACAAAGACTTCCAAATAAAATTGAGAATGGAACTGGGGAATGTGTCAAAGAGACAACAACCCGACCAAAGAGCAGAAAACAGCCCAAGGGCACCAATGCGTCTTCAACACAGCGAGAAAATCCCGCACCCAGGGGCGGGCTTCAGCTGGCCCCTTAACAAAAATGTGCACTAGTTCAGTGAAAATGAATGTCACACTAAACTCCAAAACATATAAATGAACTCAAACTAAAAAAAAACATACAAGACTAAAAAAAGGCCAGAGGCTCCTGACTTGGGACAAGCGCAAAAATGCGGCGGGGTTAAACATGTTTTGTGAGATCTCAACCCTCCCCCTATACCTCTAGCCAACGTAGAATAAACAAACACACGGCAATACGCATGTAGTAAAACTCAGCTTAAAAGAAGTCCGAGTCAAAGTATACAATCACCACAAAATCCTTTAAATAGCAAAATTGAAATACACAAATTTAGGAGACCTTGAGCCTTAAATTAAGGCAATGAACAGGAACCAACTCCATTTGCTAACATCTGAGAAAACAATAATCACAACTTCATGTATATGTTTGTATTATAATGTTCTGATAAAAAATGGTATAAAGTTTGATCGATGCATGTGAATAGGGCTGGCGAATGTTCAAAACGACAGTTTTAGTAAATATGTTTTGCCATGGTCCATAAAACTAGCCAGTCAGATATTTATAACACAAAAATAAGAAGATGTGGTATGATTACCAATGAGGTAAATATCCACCAGAGACAAAATGAAGTAGATGTTAGCAAATATACGTGAACCTACGGCATTTAACAATGAGAAAACTCGCACCACATAGCAAGCTATAAAAGGATCCGACATGACAAATGTAAACAAATTCAAACGACAAAACCAACGGCATGTCATTGATTTATCATGTGTACAAAACAATTATAAACGAAAAGCAAATATAATACACAACAAACGACAACCAATGAAATCCAGGCTCGTGATTTTGGTACAGCCACACATCGAACTTTGCGGGGTTAACCATGCTTGCGAGCGTCCAACCTCTAACCTGTTCCTTTGCTTTTTGTGCTTTTGCTGAGCATGAACTGATTTTGTATCATGTATGTATACCCCATATTCTTTCTTTTCTATAATATAAGAACTAATTGTAAAAACCAGTTGAAAAGGAGTTGACTCATCAGATTGATACAAAGCTAAGCAAAAACTTACAAAAATACCTATATATATATGTAACAAAGTAACGATCAGAGAGTCACACATGTATGCGCTTCACTTCATAACGTGCCATTTTTTCGATTTTTTTAGAACCGACTTTAAACCGATTTACTCTTTAAACATTTTTCGCAGGAACTGTGTACCCTTATACGCTACTGAAACCGGCTCAAGTAGTATATAGAAAATTTTGTCCATAAAAAAAAGTTAACCGAAATTAGTACAGGCAAATCCGCAAGTGATTTAGAAATTAAGCTCTTTCCAGGGGTTAAAAATTGCCACGCACAAATAGAAAATTGTAACCCTTAACATACTATATTGGTCTTTCCAATGTTCCACTTATTTATCATGGACCCCAATACAATCTATAGGCAGAGGAATTTTTCTGAATGGATGAAACTACAAATAAAAAAAATTTCAACATAAGCTATAAAACGGCAAGCTTTTTAGAAAAGCTATTACTTGTGCTTTATTATAGTAAGCGTGGATTATGCCACACTATACTAATTAGCTGTTAAACTTGACGTTTTATACCCAACCCACTTTCAACTTCTGTGACAGTGAGCGTGGATATATTGTCACACTATACTGAGTTATGAAGATGATCATAGTTAACCTAACTGTTCAAACCATTGAGCTTGCAGCATTATAATTTCTATTGGTGTATATGTTAGCGGCAATAAGTGAAATTAGGCATTTAGCTTAAATCCTAGGCAATAAGTGAAATTAGCCATTTAGCTTAAATCCTAGGCAATAAGTGAAATTAGGCATTTAGCTTAAATCCTAGGCAATAAGCTAACGCTTAGGCAGTAAGTCTATTGCCTAAATAATGTTAGGCATTACTCTTAAATCCTGAAAATTATGTCCAGGCATTAATTTTAATGCCTAAAATAAAATGGGAGTAAATAAAAAGAAATTTATTCAGAGTTAGAATAAATTTTGTACATAATAAAGAACTGCAGTTTGAATTACATGAAATTAAATCATAAGTAAAATATTGATGTTAAAACTCATTGAATAAACGTCTTAAAATATATGTAAACTTGTTGGATAGTTGGCAATCATACTACACCTCAGTATTTTTATATTGATAGAAACTTTGAAATTTCCCTCATCGTTCTCTTATACGTTACCAGTTTTTTAATCCTCCAATGGTAAAAAATGTCCTACCATTTTGGATTTTAATAGTCTATAGCTGCCTTACTTTCTAATTTTGAAAGTTTGATATTTGCCAAATGACCATTGTACTTTTGCTTTGGGTATATGATCTTTGTTTTCCCTGATTGAAATTTATATTCCGCAAAGTTTCGAGAAATTTGTTCTTGCTTTAATGCTAATAATCCAGATTAAGAAATGAAAAGACAAGATGGGTATCTAAGAACATTTACATATACAATAAAACCGATGGAAAGATGATATGACTGGCAAAATTTCATATCTTCGGTTATCTATTATTGACCAGCCCAAACCGGCTCGATCATTGAAGAGCAAAACCACAAAGAAATACGAATAAGTTCTGTTTTGAGTACGAAAAAATACTAAAATTTTAAGATCTTTTATATCAGTTTATATTCATTTTTGACATATAATTAAAAAAAATAATTACTCATCAGAATATTTCAACGAATGTACATGTATTTGGAAGATAAACCAAAATCACAAAGTTAACTTATTGCCTGAAATGATGTGTGGCAATAGGTTGAATAATCATCATCAGATTTCAGGAAATAAGCTTAAAGCCTGAAAATTTCAGGCTAGGCGTTAGCTTATTGCCTAGGATTTAAGCTTAATGTCTAATTTCACTTATTGCCGCAAACATATATAAATGTACTTAATGGAGACGTATTTTATATTTGATGAGCAGTGTTTTACTTCGATGTATAACGTCACAGTACCCAAATTGCATCTATTTAGCCAAAATAGCAGCGAAAATCTTACAAGTTTTCTTAGGGACTGAACAATTTGTATTTTTTTTTATTTGACATTATGTACCTCTTTCAAATAGGTAAATATATTTAGATATTCACAAAACGTTCACAGTATAAATCAACAGATGAAGTATTCACTGAAAAAAGTAAAATCTACGGAAAGGACGTCCACAAAAAGTCATCTTTTAAAAATGAGCAAATAAAATATGTTATCAGCATCCATTTCTTAAAAAATGAAGAGTAAGCATGGACCAATGTCAAATTGTTCTAAATATTAGAAGAAATAAAACAAAACACCTGTTATTCGATTTTTAAGGATGTGAATTTAAACATGGATGTAATTTTGGTACTCCTCATTTATTTACCGAATCATGGATGGTTTGGAGGTCGGTTCAAACCCATTTTTCTATGATTCAATATGAATTCAAAATCAAATAGATGGAACTATATAGTAAATAAGGATACATCTACAAAATAAACACAAAATGGAAACTTTTGTCTGGATCATAAATAAACGTAGGTGAAAAAAAAACTGTCAAAATAGGTGCAATTTGGGTACCCTCACGTTATATATGGCACTTTGAATAAGACATAAAACTTTATTTAGAGTCGGTATAAGCAATACAATTACAAACATAAGCTCTGAAGAGCTCTTAAAACCGACAGAACAAAAGCACAACAAACAAAACATACATATCAAGTCATGCACACATATAATTAAACATAGAAAGCAAGAGTTCATATTAATATGTAAACATGCAACACAAAGGTTCTATAAAGCACTTATGAGGTAAAAACACAAAAGCAAAAGTAAAATGGTTTGCAACATAAAAAGCACATGGAGATTAGTAAAGTAACTAAAATAAGCACAAAATAGCAGAAGCACTAAAGTTAACAAAACAAAATATGTTTGACATGTTGAAAACAAAGCATTAAACTAAAAACAATGAACAGAATTAACTGGTTTTGCAGGCGAAACATTGGCATGAGCTGCCAGACCAAGAATTTATCAAGGTCTTGAATTAATTTAAAGATTCATACGTTGCTCATCTGCAGCTCATTCCAAAGCTTAGCACCCGCATACCTTAAAGATTGTAGACCATATGCAGTTGTTCTCACATGTGGTAGGTCTGCTGTATTCTGGTATCTGAAAGAGTAAGGGTTTTCTTTTAAGTGGATTAAATCAAGGAGATAAACAGGACATTTTTTATTAATATTATTGAAAACTTCAAAAGCCAATGATCTCATTCTTCTAATTTTTAAAGATGGTAATTTTGATTTGCAGAGTAGATCTTCATAACTTGCTGAATAGTCTTCATAAATAAATCTTACTGTGCTCTCTCTTGAATTTTCTCAATCTTTTTTGTATCAAATCTTTTTAACGTCTAATGTTAGAATATATAAAGAATAAATTAACATTTTTATTACTGGCGGAGGACTACTCGTCACATGTAAATATAACATTTTAAGCGTTAGGATACATTGACTTTTATATTGGTGGAGGATTACTCATCATATGAGGTGCTCCTTCATTGGAGGAAGATTCGATTTAAAGTTACAGTTTGCAAAACAAACACACATGTGATCTAGAACGAATAATTATTTATAAGGAAATCGAAAGTAGACGTCGCAAAGTATTTGCATACTTTCGTTATTTTATTTTAAAGTGTAAGTTGTTAGCTGTATTTTTATTAAGGAATTGAACATGACCTGTAAATTCAAAACATTTCAAATGCCTGGAGTGTACAACTATATAATTTGAGAAAATGACTAATTCTCATTCACTGTTGACATCACCTGATCATACCATAAACAATTACACATAACTACAAGCCAGATAGGGTATTACACCTGTGTTTAATCCTCATATATAGCTATATCTGTTTGTTACACTTGAAATTATATTATATACTGAATTATTTTACGGTGAGTTATGCATTTAAATTTAAAAGATATCTGGAGCTGCATATAAATGTCATAAATGTTTGTTCCTCTTCTACATAAACGCATTATTTTCTATAAAATATTTACATCCAAAAGTGGCAAAATAATGGTAGAAGTAGAAGTATACATATGATTGAAGTTTTATAAACTGCAGATTTGACAGAAATTTTTGAGGACACACATTACAATGTACCAAAAGATGTTTATCTGGGTGTTTTGGGAAATGCCCTTTTAACATGTTTAATGCCATTTTTGGAAGTCTGGTTCATTTAATTGGTTCAAAATTAGTGGGATAAGCTAATACAGTATGATTTAATAATTATTTCTCATCTGCTCATAGGGAATGGATCCTTTCAACAACATTTGGGAATGGCAGAAATAATAACCTGTGCGAACTTAGGCCATGGAAAAATGAACGTTGGTTTCCCCTAACATGTGAAAATTATTAAGGCCAGGCAGGCAGGAAAATCTATGTATATTATATTAATATTTTTAGTGAAAAATAACTGTTGCTCTACAGAGAATGTTGTTGTTAATTATTGACAGTAAATTCTTATTATACATTTTTTATTGTGGTATAATCTATGTGAAACTAAAGGAATGATAATTAAGCAATGTTGAAACACTTTTAAGAGATTATCAGACAATTTTAATAAGAATCATTGAAAATTATCAAAAGAAATCAAAGCAACACTTTTCTTTTCATCTGCCAAAATTTTTTTTAAAAAATGAAATAAAAAAAAATTGACCCAGAGGGTTAAAACATATGGCAGGTTTGGGGAAACACACAATCATTTTTTGCATTGCCTTACATACATATCAGGAAGAGGATATGTTAATGTGAAATCAATATGGACTCAGCATGCTCAACCTTGTACTAGACCAATGGACCTCGTAGGCTGAGTGGTTAAAGTAGTTCATCTAATGTATCACTTGCCTGTCAACACTGGGGTTGTGAGATCAAACCCTAAACAATCAATCAATCAATTGTAATAGACCCACACCCTGGGTTTGATAGTTAACAACATGCTATTTAGCAATTAAAGGTACCAATCAATCTGAGGAAGACTGTCACCCTACCTGGACACATTATTTAGTCTTTGCTCGTTATCCTAAATGCTGTGAGCTTAATGAAGAAGAATTGAATTACAATTTTCAATTCTGTGGTTTGACCAAGTTCAGAATCGAACCCACTGATTCCCTTACTCTAGGCAAGCATGCTACCATTTTGTTACTTGTTTTTATGCTTTGTTTCTGATTAGTTAAGCCCTTTTCAACTGATTTTTATAGTTTTTTCATATGTTGTGCAGTTACAAATGTACACCAATGTCCCAGGTTAGGGAGAGGACTGGGCACCCACAAACATGTTGAACCAAACACAATCTGTATGTGCCTGTCCCAAGTCAGGAGCCTGAAATTCAGTGTTTGTTGTTGGTTCATGTCTGTCATATTTGTTTTTATACGACTGCTAAAAATTTGCGTTCGAATATTGCTATCACGTCGTCGTCGTCGTCCGAAGACATATGGTATTTTTCTAGTTTTCAGACAATAACTTGTGTTTAAGTGTATGGATGTCTCTTAAATTGTACCACATTTTACAAAAAGAAAATTTCTTCAAACACTATTTTTAGGCAGTTAAGCTGCCTTATGCGAGCACCCTAGATTTGTGTTCTACCCAATAAATGCTGAAATACCTGCCATTGTTATTATCTAGCTGGCTATTATGTTTTTTATAACTAATTGGACATTTTTTTAATACTTTTATTTCTGGAATACAAAAAATATGACCAGAAAAACCTTAAATGATCGTCGAACTACCCAAAACTTTTGAAGTTGCACATAGGAAGTAGTGCTCAATAGAAATCCGTACGTAGTTTATTATCCCCTGTGCTTTTGGCTACGATGTCAAAGAACAATTATATGAAATATTTCATCGCCGAAAATCGGTAATTACAAGTCGTTTATATTTCCCAAATGGCAAAATGAGCAGGAATATTGTTCATGTACAACAAATCTCTATGATAGAGGAAATAAAGTTATATAAGTGGGCGGTAATTTTTAACTTATCTTGCCAAATAAGCTCGAATTAAGGTTGTTGTTATTTTATGAATGAAATGAGGTCATGAAACAGATGCGGAAATCGACGTTGATGGGATGTTCTAAGTAATGTGGACAACTCTTCCCCGAGACAAGTCGGACCGAATCCACTCAAACCGTCTAAGAAGACAACTTTGACCGTTTGTCAGATTTACTAAGGGTTTCATAAAATATTAGACTAACATGTCTAGCGGAGCCATTAATCTTTTGTTTGTGCATTGGGGTCTATTTAGGGGTATTTGGAGGGGCCTGAAGAAGGGAGGGGTTTACTATAGAACCCTATGGGATTTTATTTTTAAAATAAAATTTTCAAATGACTTTTTCTCGAAAACAGTAAGTGATAGACACATGCAGTCTTCAGTAATGAGAACAGGACAAAAAAAAATCAACCAAAATATAGGGTGAGTCCCTAGGGGTCATCCGAACCCCCTTCAATTTGAAAATGTACTTTTATCTTGTAAACCGTCGCGATCCCCAACCCTAAACAATATATTTACTTGTATGGGACAATAAAAGAAATCAAATGAAAATAATTTGGGGGAGTCCCTGGTGTCGTCCCACCCCCTCCTGTTTGAGAACTTGGAAATGGTCGAGATCCCCACCCCTAAACCATATATATTCATGTATGGGACAATAAAACAAATCAAATGAAATATAGGGGAGTCCCTGGGGTCTCCCTACCCTCTCCTGTTTGAGAACTTGTAAACAGTCGATATCCCCACCCCTAAACCATATATATTCATGTATGGGACAATATAACAAATCAAATGAAATATATAGGGAGTCCCTGGGGTCACCCCAACCTCTCCTGTTTGAGAACTTGGAAATGGTTGAGATCCCCACCCCTGAACCATATACATTCATGAATGGGACAATAAAACAAATCAAATGAAATATAGGGGGAGTCCCTGGGGAAACCCCACCCCTTCCTGTTTGAGAACTTGTAAACAGTCAAGATCCCCACCCCTAAACCATATATATTCATGTATGGGACAATATAACAAATCAAATGAAATATATGGGGAGTTCCTCGGGCCAACCCACCCCTCCTGTTTGAGAACTTGGAAATGGTCGAGATCCCCATCCCTAAACCATATATATGCATGTATGGGACAATAAAACAAATCAAATGAAATATAGGGGGAGTCCATGGGGACACCTCACCCCCTCTTGTTTGAGAACTTGTAAACAGTCAAGATCCCCACCCTTAAACCATATATATTCATGTATGGGACAATAAAAGAAATCAAATGAAATATAGGGGAGTCCCTGGGGTCTCCCCACCCCCTCCTGTTTGAGAACTTGTAAACAGTCGATATACCCACCCCTAAACCATATATATTCATGTATGGGACAATATAACAAATCAAATGAAATATATAGGGAGTCCCTGGGGTCACCCCAACCTCTCCTGTTTGAGAACTTGGAAATGGTTGAGATCCCCACCCCTAAACCATATACATTCATGAATGGGACAATAAAACAAATTAAATGAAATATAGGGGGAGTCCCTTGGGTCACCCCACCCCTTCCTGTTTGAGAACTTGTAAACAGTCAAGATCCCCACCCCTAAACCATATATATTCATGTATGGGACAATATAACAAATCAAATGAAATATATGGGGAGTTCCTCGGGCCAACCCACCCCTCCTGTTTGAGAACTTGGAAATGGTCGAGATCCCCACCCCTAAACCATATATATATGCATGTATGGGACAATAAAACAAATCAAATGAAATATAGGGGGAGTCCATGGGGACACCTCACCCCCTCTTGTTTGAGAACTTGTAAAGAGTCAAGATCCCCACCCTTAAACCATATATATTCATGTATTGGACAATATAACAAATCAAATGAAATATTTGGGGAGTCCCTGGGGTCACCCCACTCCCTCCTGTTTGAGAACTTGGAAATGGTCGAGATCCCCACCCCTAAACCATATGTATTCATGTATGGGACAATATAACAAATCAAATGAAATATTTGGGGAGTCCCTTGGGTCACCCCACCCCCTCCTGTTTGAGAACTTGTAAACGGTCGAGATACCCACACTTAAACCATATTTATTCCTGTTCATCATTTCAAAAAGATTTGAATGACATACAGGGTCAATCTCCTAGGTGTCACATATGTATATCACTTTACTAGACCAAACCAATATGAACTGGACTTTGCCCAATGTCAGGAGACCATGGGAATGACGAATTATGGGGGCTTTGTTTGGGAGACTTCGTAACCGCATCCTGTTACAATTATTTCTTGTTTATTATAAAATTTTATTGATGCAAAAAATGAGTCTAGGTTAATTGAATTTACTTTAATTATTTATTAAATTATTTCTGGGCCTATAATAATTTTCATTTATGGCTCATTTTAAAGAAAACATATAAATCTTTCAAGCAGTGTAAAGCCCGAGAATGTTTGACCAACTGTTTTATAATCACCTGTCATTTTATTCCAAACTTGGTATGGAGTAACATCATGCACTTGGGGGTGAAGATGGGGGTCATTTACATTGATATATGAGTTGCTTTTGAAAACCTTGATGAAATATTAATTAATTTGCCTTAATAATCAATTCATTTAATGAACATAAATGTACAATATACGAATGTTTAATGTTTATTCTTTCAAATCTTAAAAAAAAATTGAAGCAACACTGCCACAGTTTTCATAATTACGTTTGCCTTTTGTTTTTGGTTAACTGCCTACAGCGCTTACAGTGCTTTGATTTTTTGTGGAGGGGGGAGGGGGTGTAAAAAAAACACTTTTTTGGGGGGGGGGGGGGGCAATTTTTTTTTCCTCAAGATTTAAGAAATTATTAATTTTCACCAATGAATATAAATTCAAATCATATAACCAATTTCAAGTTCTTTGACTACATTTATTCTGTGTCAGAAACCTATAATGTGTCAAATATTTAATTACAATCCAAATTCAGACCTGTATCAAGCTTGAATATTGTGTCCATTTTTGCCCCAACTGTTCTTGGTTGGACCTCTGCGTTCGTATCCAGCTGCGCTCAGTGAAGCACATTTTTGTCGAGCCTGCGACTTTTGTTGCAGAAAGCTCAACATAGGGATAGTGATCCGGCAGCGGCGGCGTTAGCTAACTTCTTAAAAGCTTTATATTTTAGAAGGTGGAAGACCTGGATGCTTCATACTTTGTATATGGCTGCCTCATGTTACGAAGTTTCCGTCATTCACATGTCCAATGTCCTTGACCTCATTTTCATGGTTCAGTGACTACTTGAAAAAAAAGTTAACATTTTTTGTAATGTTAATTTCTCTCTTATTATAAGTAGTAGGATAACTATATTTGGTATGTGCGTACCTTGCAAGGTCCTCATGCCCGTCAGACAGTTTTCACTTGACCTCGACCTCATTTCATGGATCAGTGAACAAGGTTAAGTTTTGGTGGTCAAGTCCATATCTCCGATACTATAAGCATTTGGTCAAGTATATTCGGTGTATGGAAGGACTGTAAGGTGTACATGTCCAACTGGCAGGTGTCATCTGACCTTGACCTCATTTTCATGGTTCAGTGGTTATAGTTAAGTTTTGTGTTTTGGTCTGTTTTTCTTATACTGTATGCAATAGGTCTACTATATTTGGTGTATGGAATGATTGTAAGGTGTACATGTCTAGCTGGCAGGTGTCATTTGACCTTGACCTCATTTTCATGGTTCAGTGGTCAAAGTTAAGATTTTGAGTTTTGGTCTTTTTTTCTAATACTATATGCAATGGTCAACTATATTTGGTGTATGGAAATATTTTTTTATCTATTTGTCAGTCGCGCAGGTTTTATTTGACCTTGACCTCATTTTCACAGTTCATTGCTCAGTGTTAAGTTTTTGTGTTTTGGTCTGTTTTTCTTAAACTATAAGCAATAGGTCAACTATATTTGTTGTATGGAAGAATTGTTAGCTGTACATGCCTGCCTGGCATGGTTCATCTGACCTTGACCTCATTTTCATGGTTCATTGGTCAATGTTTAGTTTTCTTGGTTAATGTTAAGTTTATGTGACAGTTGTAATAAAGCTTTATATTAAGGATTATCAGCATAATATCAGTGATTAGTAAAGAAGGCGAGACATTTCAGCGTGTGCATTCTTGTTTGTAAATCGTTTTGTTATAAACTAGGCTGTAAGTTAACTCAATTAAATTGTTTCATATTTTTCATTGGCAATCATTCCACATCTCCTGTTTTTTATAACAAGAGACTTCTGAAAAATAATGCATTATTAATACTTGCACAATTGAATTTATGTATGTATGTTGTCAGGTAAGACTTTAAAAGGCATTTCAGGTGTTCTTAAGCTTTATTTGTAGGTCAGCTGATACATTTACTACTATTTCAATTAATTTTATTTCCTGTAGTATGTGTTTAATTTGTTTTTTAATTCTTTATAGACAATGGCACATAAAGGACCTCCACCACCGTATCAGTACCAAGGACCACCTCCTGCAGGTTATGCATCCAATGTAGGTATAGTTGTTATAAGCAAAGTATTTTATAAAATAACTTACATCAGATAGACAGGACGGCTATCGGTAATAAAACTTTACTCTGTACTCAGAGTACAAAATTTGTACTTGAAACCAAAAGCCTTGCGGTCATAAAACTTTCAAGTTCGATTATTGTACTCAGACTCAGATTTCCACCAATAAAAATACTGGATTTGGTGTTTCGAGCACAAATTTTGTACTACGAGTACTGAGTAAAGTTTTATGACAGAGAGCCCAGATCTAGTATTTGTTTTCATTGGTGGAATTCTTAGTCTGAGTATGATAATCGTTGAAATTTTTATGACCGCAAAGCCAGATCTCTTAACGATATTATGTAACATATAATGGACTCATAAAAAGAATAACATTGAAAAAATAATGGACAATACAAAACAACTACACTAACCACTAATCCAAAACACTTCTGAAAAAATATTTGTACAAAAAACAATAAATTTATTGATTGATTGGTGTTTAAAGCCACTTTCAGCACTATTGCACTATTTCATGGCAGTCATTTTTTATTGGTGGAGGAATCTGGAGTGTGGGAGAAAATCACTGATCTTTGATAGGAAAACTGACAATCCTTGTCAATTAAGATTGGAGTCAAATGCACCTGCCAGGTGCAGGATCTGGACTCACAACCTCAATTTCGACAGACTAATGATACAGAAGTTGGACTACTTAGATCACTCAGCCACTGAGGCCCCCCAAACAACAATAAAAAATGCATGTTAATGTTAATGCTTTCACACATGTAACCACCAAGTTTAGCACCAAGTATAGAAATCTTGTCATCTAACAGTTATCTAACAGTTCATAATATTGTATATTCTCTACACATAAGAACTCTAATCCCTGTAGTAAACAGGATAACTACTCCTGTTTTATTTTGACAAATCGCAGACTTTATGTTAACAGGATACTGGTAACTACTTTGTGATGTTTATTTTGACAAATCGCAGACTTTATGTTAACAGGATACTGGTAACTACATGGTGATGTTTATTTTGACAAATCACCTGATCACAGACTTTATATGTTAACAGGATACTGGTAACTACTTTGTGATGTTTATTTTGACAAATCACCTGATCACAGACTTTGTATGTTAACAGGATACTGGTAACTACTTTGTGATGTTTATTTTGACAAATCACCTGATCACAGACTTTGTATGTTAACAGGATACTGGTAACTACTTTGTGATGTTTATAGACCAATCACAGACCTTGGGTTAATTAGATAATTAATCTGTGATTTTTATTTTACAGACAACAGTATATGTCAACCAGCCACCAACAAAAGTTGTACATACATCATCTGTAAGTTGGAAAATCAAAAGATATTTGTATGAGTTAAGATTGTAACAAATTACTTAATACATGTAGGTTTTCTGGTCTCAAAATTAATGTAAGATAGTCAGATAAGTTTAACAAAGTCTGCATATTCATAGCAAATATAGGAAAAAACTCTGACCAAATATCCATTTGATTTCAATTTCATTTTATAATGACACACTTTTTAGATTGTTACTTACTCCATGCATAATTTTAAACACACTATCTCTATTCAAATTGCGTAATAAGGATTGCAATTTTGCAATAATGAAACTCTCCATACGCTTGACATTTTGAAAAAGTTATGTAAAGAAATTGTTTAACTGAAAGTGCAAGAAAGGAAAAATCACTCAATGCTAATGGAAAGTTAAAAAAATAATGACAATTAGAAGGGAACAGTCAAATTGTATTTTTGTATTTTGCTTTGATTGTTTAAATCTGTATTCTATTAGTTAGAGATTGGTACAAATGACAATTTATTTTCTTGATCTTATAGCCAGGATTGTTTGGATCAATCATGAAAGAAGTGAACAGTGTAGGCAGAGAGGTAGAAAAAGGTCTGAATTGGGCAGGTAACCAGATTGACCATGCTGTCAAACAGTGTGAGACTGGAAATATTCTGGTAAGTAGACTTGAAACCAGACTGATCATTCAGTAAAATATTAGAAAATAATCTTGTTTAGTAGACTGGTTGAAAAGAAAAAGAAAATACCAAGGGGGCACTCTAAAATCATTTCCAATAAAAACAAACAAAAAAATAGCCAAAAATAAAAACCATGAAAGATCAAACTACAATAACAAAAGATTACATAGAAAACAAAAGACTGAGCAACAAGGACCCCACTGGTTTTACTCCTCATAGAAGATATTCATGGTAAACACTCTTAATACATATCTTCCATAAGGAGTGCAACCTTTAATGCAAACGATTTTTAACACAGCGAAATATTTGCATTTTTTTTTTATTAACTTTTTAAAAATTTTCTTTATATATTATTTACATCATATCAATTTCTTAAACAATAAAACAAAAAAGAAAAAAGGAATCACCAATAATATTGTACAGTTCAACAGACCACACTAACACCCAACTCCTCTGACAAAATTGATGTGCTTTGAAATACATTTACATAAAAAAGAGGCGAAAGATACCAAAGGGACATTCAAACTCAGAAGTTGAAAATAAACTGACAATTCCATGGCTAAAAAAGAAAAAGACAAACAGACAAACAACAGTACACAAAACACAACATAGAAAACTAAAGATTGAGCCACAAATATTTATATATGGTATATATTTTTTCAGCAAACATTCCAGACAAACAATGTTGTACAGCTAGTATCACGTGCCAGCGGACGATCACTACAGATTGTGATGTCACCAACACAACAGTTAGTCATTGATGGATGTGGTGCCGAGGGACCTCAGGCTTTTAACAGTAAGCTTCATGAGCCAATGGATTATCACTATATACTGTAATGTAACCAATTAATAAAACATAAAATAAAGTGGTAGATGGGAGTTGTGCACAAGCATTGTTTCTAAGCTAATGGATGTTCACAAGATTTTCAATGAGTACTTTTAAACTATCAAAACCGGACACTAAAACAGTACTTAAACTATCAAAACCGGACACTAAAATAGTACTTAAACTATCAAAACCGGACACTAAAATAGTAAAACTATCAAAACCGGACACTAAAAACAGTACTTAAACTATCAAAACCGGACACTAAAACAGTACTTAAACTATCAAAACGGGACACTAAAATAGTACTTAAACTATCAAAACCGGACACTAAAATAGTAAAACTATCAAAACCGGACACTAAAAACAGTACTTAAACTATCAAAACCGGACACTAAAACTATCAAAACCGGACACTAAAAAAGTACTTAAACTATCAAAACCGGACACTAAAATAGTACTTAAACTATCAAAACCGGACACTAAAATAGTAAAACTATCAAAACCGGACACTAAAATAGTACAATGATATACTGTGAAAACAATCCCAAATATGGGCATTGTGGTTATTCCAATATCTTGAAAAGCCTTATATGCGTTTCTTGTTTCAAGTGTTTGATTTTAATGTACATGTACCTAAAAGTTTTTTAATTTTTCAGCTTTATGGACTGTAGTAAATGAGGGCAATAACCAAGTTCGTCTCCATAACAACAATAACTACATTGCTGTTGTCAATGGTTTAACACAGCTAGTTCACATGGTGAGTTTTTACATAGTCACAATAGTTGTTTCCTTTTAATTTTGACGAAGTTTATTAATGAAATCAAATAAACCTGTTCATAATCTCTAAATTAGAATTATTTGTTCATATCGTAATTCATAATTTTTTGTGCAAAAATCAAGAAAGTCTGGTCCTGTGATTAAATAAGGAACTAATAAAAAATTGATGGTATTGTGTTACTTATGATTTTAAAAAAATTCCCATAGCAGTGTATAAGGTGATGGTACTTCAAGGGGATATGTATTTGAGACTGCCTTTAAAAGAGTGGAAATAGAAATGAAAGGATGAGCTGATATTCAATAACATTATACTAGTCAGTAGTATTTTTGTTGTGAAATTGGAATCTGCATAAAGAGCAAGATTTAGGCATGCAATTGAGAAAAATAAAGTATCTCATTATTATAAATATTTTACATGGAAGGTACAGTCCATTGAATGGCATGTTCTATACCTGTACTTTGTTAGTTGTATATATATAAAAGGAAATATCAGATACACCTAAATAATGACAGTAATCCATCAACACACAAACATCAGTTCACCAAAAACATGAGAAAAGACACCTACTGGTGACAATAAAAAAATTTATGTAAAATTGTACGATCTCCATGATGAATACTTTATTTAATACACATTTTTTGCACTATTTGGAGTATGATGATATAAAAGTTTACCCTTCACTAGTCAGACAAGACTGTATCTGGCACTAACCCTGTGGTTAATCACGAGGACTCTTAAAACCGTGGTTTCATTATAACTTATGGAGTACCAGTTATTGTGGACAGGTGAACCACCAATTTTCAGCATGAGGCTAAATACACAGAATTTTCTAAACCACAAAATCAAGTATCCATGAAAATTGGAACGCAAGAAAATAAATGAAACTGCAGTATGAAAATAATTTTTCTATAAACAGCCACCAGGTACAATGCATGGAGCAGAAACAAAAATCCAGTTACATCAGACCAATCAGTTTGTTACCATGGCATCATGTAAAACTGTGACACAACATGTTGGTGTGTTAGAAAATGGACAACTAAAGTCTGCATTGGCCACACATAGAAATGACACTCATGCTATGTTTGGTGTTAGACTGATTGTAAGTATTAATACTAGAGAGACAACCATCTCAGATTTTGTTTGAAATAATAACTTTTACTGTAAAAGGTAAACAAGGGTTGATGTACATAAAAACAAAATTTGACACTTTACTGTTAGCTCAAAAATGAAAAAAAAACACTTAATAAATCTCATGCGATTTTTCACCAAATTTCAGAAACAAAATTTAATTTCATTTTGTATATCTATTATTTCCATTACATTCAATTTGATTTCCATAAGCATCCTTTTCACTTGGAACTTGTTTGTATGTCTAAACATCAATGTTTCTTTTTTTACATGAAGCACTTCTGAAACAGAAGTAGTTAAAAATGTGTATACATGTATTAATAAACAGCCTTAGTGTTTCCTGCAGCTTTTGAAAAGGGCAGGGTAATTTTTTTTCTCAGAGGGCACTTGTAGTGTGGTTGGCTACACTTTAAGGGCACCCTTTGTGTGGAGGACTACACTTTTAGGGCACTGTTTACATAGAATATACCATTGTTTCATATTTATTGGTAAGAAATAAAGATATGTATATTACTATTAGATTTTTAATTTAATTCCTTTTTGTAATAAAATTATCAATTCTAGACTAAGCTAATATAATCTTGATCATGTTCTTTGTGCAACTGCCTCATTTCATTCAATAACTCCAGTTATAAACTTTAATACTGGATGCCTGAGACTTATTGTCTAAGGATGTGTTGTGAAAGTGGACTATGCATGACAAAGAGCAAATGCAATGCATTGCTTTTTAGATGCATAAAAGAAGTGCTAAAATTATGCCTTTTGGATCTCACATGTTTATACCATTCAAAGCTACCTTGGCTCATAACTGTACAAATAGTTTTTGGATATTCAAAGATTTGTATAGCAAGACTTACTATACATATATTCTTCTGCTTTTCATCTTTTTTCCATTCATGTTTTTGTTATTGAAACGTTGATTTTTAGTACTATTCAAATCTATATCAGCTATATTCTTAACTTTAATTTTATTAAGATAACATCAGTATGAAAGCCGACGTAAATTCACATCCAATTGAAGTCTCGACCAACCGAATAGTATAAATAGAAAATATAAACAAACATTGGATTGTTTACGTAATCAGTGGTAATTTTCATCCCATGCATCGTAAAATTATAACTCAAACGATCGCCTGGTTCCCTTTTAAATTGTCTAGAATTTTAAATTTGTAGAGATACAAATCCATGTTGTCCCTATTATATTCAATCATGAATTGTATTTGTAATCTGTCGCTTCAAAACTGTTCAAACATAATTACGAAATTCAACTAGACATCATTGAGATGGGAGCCATCTCTGTGGGCCCCGCTGACCTTGAACTATGGCCTAGGAAGTTGTACAAACATTATGATACACCCTCTGGTGTTGGTTAATATACTTGTCAAGTATAAAGTATGAAATTATAACGGTTCTCTAGATATAGAGCGGACAAAATTTGTTACGGACAGACTGATCACTATAGGGCGACCAGCCACTAGGTGGGGCCCTAAAAAAATGTCAGCCATTAAAATTTGATTTTGTTCCAAGGAAATAACCCAAAACGGTCTTGCTAAAAGATGAATTGCAGAACCGCTTTTAAATTACAGCGGGGCGTTCTACAATACAACAGAAAAGGGGCATGGCGCCAAATTTTTTTTCTAAAAATGGCAGGGCATCAAGAAAACACGGCATGACGCCATACCATGCCAAAACCTCCTGCAGGAAACACTAAGCCTAAAACACATTGCAACTTATTCTTTCTCATTATAGAATCAGTTTAACATCAATGTTTTCTTATTGTAGTCTACACCGTATGCTGGAGCACCTGCTAAATGATAAAGATCTAGGAATGTCATCTGATCATGTGATATATACAAACTACATGTACTTTGTAATCAAGTAAATACACTTTGATGTCTGATGTTTATCTTGTTATTTTTATTGACGTTAATCAATAGTTAGGGCAATTAACCAGTTATACTCTCTTGCAAATCAGTGTTCACCAGTTAGTGCCATAGTTTATATGCAACTTTTCTTTTTCATTCTCAATTTAACCTCTTACAACAATATCTAATATGAAATTGAAGCATGATTAAAATAACACTTATATAGCCTGATATTTACGAGACTTTCTATTTATTTATGTAGACATACAAATAAACAGCATTATATTATTGGGTTACATTTCACTTTCCTAGAAATACTAACTCATTATCATTTTGGAGTAGGTCTTTATAAATTATTGAATGTTTATGTATTGTAGATTATTTGACCTGTGATCTAGTACTTTATTTTTATATAAATCATTGACAACTGACAGAAGTGTGAGATTAAATAGTGTGTCTTGATTAAGGGGTACATAATGTACAAAATATCTTTCAAATGTTGTAAAATATTATATAGACAAAGCACTTATCCCTTTGATAAGTTACTCCACAAGTAATGAAGAGCAATTAATTGAAAAGAAGACCAATTAAATCAATTAGTTTTTACCAGATTTTATTAATTATTATTTAGTTTTTTTGTTGAATTGTGTCATAATACCATAGAATTGCTTTTATTGAATAAGCACTATAATTATCTCCCCCTGAATTGAGCATATTTGTGCAAACTTTTCTTGTCTGACAAAAATCACAGATTTTTTGATTCATGAATAATCCCATAATTGTTGAATGTAACTATATTTTGATATACATACATACATCTTTGATAAGATCAACTTTCTTTGTCTCCTGGGATGAAAGTTGTTGAAGTGGGACATGCAATCCTGCAGTCTATTGCTTTTTGCGGATATCTGTAGTTTACTGATAAAATGACTAACTTTTTACAGTTAACTTTTAAAAGCAGTGTTTGGTAAACATTTTTTACACATCAATAATTTTGTCAAATCTCATGGATTTTTATGGAACTTTGTCAGAAGCTTCTTCATAATCATTAGATAATTTAGATCAAAAGTTAGCATTTTATTTTTTTTATCCATACAAATTTTACTGATTAATGGTTTCCATTTTTTGCGTTAACATTTAGATACAGTCTGGTGTTTTTTTTTTTTTAGACAAATGTAACTTTGTAAAACATTCATAGAATACAATAAACTTGGATAGAAGCTTTTTTTATGATTAAGTGATATTAAACAAAACCTGTTCAAATAAAAAAAATATTTTCATTTTTCCTTCAGTTATTTAATGATGGATTGACTTAACTAAGTTAAGTTTTTGATTTAATATTTACATTCAGTCTATGGTGATGTTTCTTAGAAGTCAATAACTTTGTCAAATGATCATGGAATATAACAATACTTGGATAGAAGCTTCTTCATAATAAAAAAACAGCATCAAAGAAATATTTTACAATCTAAAAAATAATTCTTTATTTTACTTACTGATAAATGGAGTTAGTTTTTGGCGGTCAGTATTACACTTTTAAAATAGCAATCTCAAGAAAGACCCAGGGAACCCTTTACTTATCTTTATTAGAAAATGTTACCTATTCTTGATTATGTTTTATTGTTTGAAATTATAAACCTTGAATATCTGTACATTTTCTTTCCAAACATTGTATACAATTGAATAATGACATGTTTTTAAATGATTTTATATTTCACTATAATTTATGTAGTGTTTTATTGTTAGCATGGTGTTATTTTGTTATGTTCAGTTGTATTCTTTGTACTTTTGTCATCTATATTTCAATTAAAAAGTGTTTATTATTGTGATTCGACAGTTGTATGTACATTTCCACTCTGTGAACAATAAACCACTTGACAGTGTACACTAGTTTCAGGGGAGATAACCTATATACTTTAGAATACTTTAAATTCAGAAATTACTGTGCATTTGTTATTTTTTACATCACTGGGTCGATACCTCTGCTGGTGGACTATCAGTCCCAGAGGGTATCATCAGCTCAGTAGTCAGTACTTCGGTACTGACATGATTTAACAAACTTTTCTAAAATTGTCCGTTTTTAAATTTTCTAAGGTTTCAACTCCCTCAGGCAAAGTTGACTTTAGATGAATTTGGCTATTTATTTTAGGTATTTTTGTCATATAGCTCTTCAACGGTTTCGGTACTTATACATCCTCGGATTTCAAATGTTTGGCTTTGAGCGTTCCTGATGAAGGTAAATCCAGAAAAGCGCTTCGGATGCATGAAATTATTAAACGTGTTGTTTTCAATTTTTTATTGAGATTGTTGACCAATGAACACAATGGCAAGTTTTATTATTTTGATTTCAGGAAATGCTGCATACAAATTTGATGACTAGATTTAAAATATTGTCCTTTGAAAATTTCATGACAATTGTTGTTTTTAAAAGCTTGTAGATCCATAGCTCATTTTAGTTCATTTGTGTAGAATGGTGACTTACTGATAACATTAGTTTTGTTCTTGTTCCACCTTTCAAGATTATTCTGCCAGGGTGGCATCATGTGATATCAACACATCTAACAATTTGGTATAATAGTTTTACCTTAAGTATTTTGAATCTGCCCATTCTGCATACTGTCTCTCTACTATGGTTAGTTAATGTAAAGATATTCTTGTTTGCATCTTAAGAAGTGTAACTTATATTATCCATTTAGTTATCCTATGCCAATAGCTTTGTTGTGATAAGTTAGTACATTGGTCAGTGTGAGCTATATTATTATTTGGTGATCATTGTTTACACCTTCAAAAATAATTTCCTCTGATACCAATGGACCAATTGGATATAAATTTTGTCAAAATTATCCCTAGAGAAAAGGGTATATTGACTTAACACGAGTGTACACACTGAAATGTCTCGCCTCCTTTACTGACAATTGCTTTTGTGTTGAAAGTCTCAAAGATAAAGGTTTTACTACAAGTATCACATAGACTTAACATTTTTAAAGATCCATGATGAGGTCAAGGTCAGATAAATCTTGTTATACAGACAAAAAAAATAAAAGATAAAAGAGATGATAAAAGAGATGATTTTTCATTTCCTATCGTAAATTATCAATTTTTAGATGGTGACGTTCCCTTGTCACCATCTTGTGGTGTTTATATATCTCAACTTGTACGATTCACTCGTGTATGTAACAACGTATTAGATTTTAGCGAGAGAAATTTATGTATTACTGAAAAATTATTACACCAGGGTTTTCGATATCATAAACTAGTCAAACATTTACTAAATTTTATCATCGGTATAAGGACATCATTCGTAAATAACACTCAACATGCAGACATCTTATACGTTCGGGTATTTCACATCCAATCTTTTATGGTAATATTCTGTACAAAGCACAAAAATGTCAGTATTCACCTCAAAAGCTAACAAAACCTTTCAACAGACTTATTAAGAAGGGATATAGTTACGATACTGTTGTCAGGTCATTTTGGCTTTAATATTGATTCACTTATAGGGTCTTTGCATCAAAATTAAACACATTTATTTTAAAACCAGTTGTTGGCATGACACGGGTCATGTTCTTCTCATATATTTTATGATGGTATAATACTAAACCCCTAACAGGAGGGATTATGCCTGATATTCATATGATGAAGACATAATCTTTCAATCAGTTTAATTGAGGTCTGGAGCTGGCATGTCAGTAACTGCTAGTAGTCTGTTGTTATTTATGTATTATTGTCATTTTCTTTATTTTCTTTTGTTTCCCATTCTGACATCGGACTCGAACTTCTCTTATACTGAGTTTTACTGTGCGTACTGTTGTGCGTTTGTTTTTTCTACATTGGCTAGAGGTATAGGGGGAGGGTTGAGATCTCAAAAAACATGTTTAACCCCGCCGCATTTTTGTGCCTGTCCCAAGTCGGGAGCCTCTGGCCTTTGTTAGTCTTGTATTATTTTTAATTTTAGTTTCCTGTTAATAATTTGGAGTTTAGTATTATCACTGAACTAGTATACATATTTGTTTAGGGGCCAGCTGAAGGACGCCTCCGGGTGCGGGAGATTCTTGCTGCATTGAAGACCCATTGATGGCCTTCGGCTGTTGTCTGCTCTATGGTCGGGTTGTCTCTTTGACACATTCCCCATTTCCATTCTCAATTTTATGTACACCTTACAATTGTTCCATACACCAAATAAAGTTGACCTATTGCTTATGGTAATTGAAAACAGACCAAAACACAAACTTAACATTGACCAATGAACCATGAAAATGGGGTCAAGGTCAGATGATACCTACCAGACATTCATTCATTCATGTCTTGCTATTATGTCTTGAATTAGACTATTTACCGGATTTGTAATAACATAAGCAACTCGACGGGCGCCACATGTGGAGCAGGATCAGCTTACCCTTCCGGAGCACCTGAGATCACCCCCAGTTTTTGGTGGGGTTCGTGTTGCTTAGTCTTTAGTTTTCTATGTTGTGTCATCTGTACTATTATTTGTCTGTTTGTCTTTTTATTTTTGGCCATGACGTTGTCAGTTTGTTTTCGATCTATGAGTTTGACTGTCCCTCTGGTATCTTTCGTCCCTCTTTTTTGCTATAAGTATATGAAAAAGAGACCAAAACAGAAAAACTAACATTGACCAATGAACCATAAAAAGTAGGTCATGGTCAGATGATACCTACCAGACATTCATTCATTCATGTCTTGCTATAAGTATATGAAAAAGAGACCAAAACAGAAAAACTTAACATTGACCAATGAACCATGAAAATGAGGTCAAGGTCATATGGAACCTGCAAAACTGTCATGTGCCCCTTACCATAATTCCAAACACCACATATAATTGACCTACTGCTTATAGCATGAGAAAGGGACCTAATCATGTAGTTTTAACCTTGATCACTGATCCATTAAATGAGGTCGAGGTCAGGTGAACCCGGTCTGACGGACATGTAAATGATGCAAGGAACCAATATACCAAATATAGTTATCTTATTACTCATAATAAGTGAGAAATTTTCATGACAAAGAATCTTTAATTTTTTTTTCAACCAGTCACTGAACCATGAAAAGGAGGTCAAGGACAATGGACATATGATGGACGGAAACTTTGTAATAAAAGGTATCTGCATACAAGGTATGAAGCATCCAGGTTTTCTACCTTCTGAAATATAAAGCTTTATACTAGGGATGTCAACTCAGTGAAGATTTACTAATCGAGTACTCATTGGATTTACCGAGCGATACTCAAGTACTCGCTCGGAAAAACATCTACAAAATGGAAACACAAAATTATACCCATTTTACGTATTGTGGGTCATTGTCTTATGGACGTAAAACCCTCAACATAATTATCTATGACTAGATAATAGTCCAAGGAATTTTATACCACAATTAATAGCTCATTTACTACATGTACTAATTATGCAAACTGTCAATAATCTAATCAATTAAATAATAAACATCTATAGACAAATGATTACTCACACAACAGTATTTGGAAATCGTAAAACAACACATATATGATCAACAAAGGGGTGATGATTAGAACTTACTAATGCCTTTAACCATTTTCTGAGGGTCGACAAAGGGTGCAATGAATTTGTTCTTATTTAAAATATTATTTTGTCAACTTTTTCTGGTAAAAGTCAATTTCTCAACTTTGTTACGTTGCTGTGACGGTACAGAGGTGTTGGAATGACTAAGACACAATTAGTTAAAAGTGAAAGCCTTGGAAAGGTGCGCTTGTTCATAGCCTACCTCTTTCTGGAGGAATTTTAAATGAGAATTAAGCACAAACATTCGAAATGTATTTTAATTTTGATTAAATATTTAATTTCCCGGGATGCGCTCTTAATGAAAATATTTTTTCTTCAAGAAGGCAACAACATTCTGACAGGAAACCGATTAGTCGAGTATCAATTTGGTATTCGATACTCGTCATTACCGAGCGATACTCGAGTACTCGTTGACATCCCTACTTTATACAAATAGTTTACACTGTTGCCGCCTCAGCCGGATAGTAATCCTTATGTCTGCATACTGCGACTTTCATCACAGGCAAGACAAAAATTATATGCAATGATAATACTTGTCAAAATTCTTCAGTTTGTCAACAATTATGGCAGTGTAATGCATTATAATAATTGTTTAAGCATAAGCTAGTCTTAAAAGAAATTTTAATGTTTTTGTCAAATATATTATATACTAGTCAATAGCGCATACCTGTGGTTTTATAAACCAAATGGTTCATGCTGACCTACTGGCCTTGGGTCATATTAGATATGTTGCCTGGGTAACAGATAATCACAGTATAAAATGAAGTTGGTATATATGCTTACTCAGCTTACTTAACAGATGAATTAGATGTCACCTTTTAGATGAATTAAAATTGACCTTAAATTTCAAGAAAGGTGACCTAACTTATTAAAAGTTATCCTTGGAGACTAATAAAAAGGTCATCTTGACCTTACCTAACAAGAGTTTAAGTGAACTTCCTTAAGATCAATTAGGAGACGAATGAAAACTGAACCAACATGAGAGGTGATCTTATTAAAATGTCACCTTGGAGAGAAATGAAAACCTGGCTTCACCTTATTAATGCAGGTTGAACTTTTTAACTAGGAAATGAATGACCTTTTAACCATGGTGGTTTCAGAGATGCTGTTATGGCTAAGGGGAGCAAGAAAGTATATAATAAAAAAATCAACAAAACCAAATTTATCATTAGTTTATTTGCAATAGAATAATTTGTTAAGAATTTTGCACCATTATAATAAATAAAAACTTATTTTTCACTCATGAAAGACTTCATAACAAATATTGACATAATATTTTAGAATGTCTAGATTTTTCTTCTGTATGAACAATTAGATCTTTTATCTTTATAGTTATCTTACCTGAATATTCTAGTTGAAATTATAAATATTAATAATATTCTTACTTTGTTGAACAAAGCAACTTTCAGAAGGCAAAAGAAAAAACGTGGCACTCATACTGTAGTGTTAACTGTCATGTTTCTTTTTATAGGCAAATACTAACATGTGCTTCAATTCTAAATACCTCTAAGAGAATTGCACAAATCACACTACTTTTTGATGAGATATGTCAGAAATGCAGCAAAATTCCTATTTATGATTGAAGTATTACTTACATCTTGTCATTGTTTATTGAAGTGATGGATAGCATAAAGAAATACAATAAACATATCCCAACCTATTTTCAAATTGGCATTACAAGTTTGTGCATTTAAAATATTTAAAAAAACAGTCATTTGTAACAATCATACTCCTATTATAGAAAGATTTACTATAATTAAAAATAATCTTACACATTTCTTTCCAATTGGTATCAATGTTGCACATTTTAAACAATATTCAACAGTTATCTGTAACAATTTTACTACTTATTTAAATAATATGAAAATAAAAAAATCGCACATAACTGTCAATCCTAATAAAATGGTTTTATCAGGTATAAAATTTCATTTAACATCCATAATTTTAACTTTACAGTACATGATGATTAGAAAATTACCAGACATTTGAATAAGATCTATCACATTTGAACCTTGTATAGCATCAATAAAATCACTTATTACTGTTTAACTTGTTACAAATCTTGTGCAAGCTCCAGTTTTATGATGTTTTCAAGAAACAGAAAATTTCAAAATTATATATTTTCCCTCTGTTCCACTGATATCAGATCATATAAACACTACCATATTCCATGAGATAATTCATTGCACTTTCCAGAACAAGATTCCAATCAATTTCACTTAGAATGATCCAATACTTATATCTGCACTAGTGAAGATATTTAGCATAAAAATCAACCCTAATAATTAGATTTCAGTATTGTTGCTCATAATCCACAAGATTAAATTCTCAAAAAGGTATACCATTTACACTGTATTGATCTGTGCAATGATTGAAGTGATACCGTTTACAAAGTATTGATCTGTGCAATGATTGAAACCAAAAATTCATTAAAACATAAACCAACAATTTTCTAATAGCAAAAACTGGCAAATTAGAATAAAAGCATCTTTAAATAGTGCATGCTCAATTCATTTTTCCTACATGTACAAAATTTATAAAAAAATAGAACAAAACAATATTTATACATTCCAAAAGTTACCTAATTCAATTTAAAGTTTCCAAACTTAATAGGCAAACAAACTAGTTTTCATAACTTTTGATGTTGTTTAAATTAACAAACAACAATATAAAATATGAGAAATGACTGGAATCTTGTGTATTACTATAACATAAATATCTAAAATGTGTATGCTACTACAATCACAAATATCAGGAAGCAGCACTTTTTGTTGAATTGTCCTTGTGACTAATTATTCCTTTCTGTATTAAGTCTGGTACTTCTACAGCTAGCCATGGTCCAAGCTGAAGTAAAATACAAATATTGTCATATAATTTCTTCTTATGTACAGTAACTACCCATAAAAATATATAAAATTGAATTTTTAACCAATTGTTAATTTTTAATTGTACCAATCCACTGTGGTGCTGAGAATTTAAATAATGCCTCTGAAATCCATGAACAATTTCAAACTGGTAATTTTGGCACAATTTTTACGGAAAAATAATCGAATTAATCGAATTTACACAAAGTGAAATTAATCTAAAATTGTTTTTAACACACATTTGTATGATGCTGCATGACATCATAATTTACTCTACAGGATGGTTTGTATTAAAGCAGTTTTGGTCTATTTCTGTTTTTACTTTTGGAAACCTCTGTGTGAATTTTTTGAAGATAATGTGTCTTTATATATCATTTGCACATGGCACATAGTTGCTTAAACTTTAATAGAATTTTTCATACAATCTTGAAAATTATTCATTTTTGGGGACAAATTCTCTGTATGTATTGAACAATATTAAATAGGACATTCAATGATTCATGGACATATTTAAGACTTTAAAAGTGTTTATTTTTCACACTTTTCTTCTGCATACAAAGTTTTTTGATTAAGGTAAGCTCAAAGAAAAGTAGAGAGTATTAGCTACATTGTCTGAACATATAAACTGGAATATTGTGATGCTGTGTTAAGCATAAAAAGATGTGAAGTGATATTGATGTCTATATAAGTCTGGGTTTAAAAACAAATCTTTACAGAAACAGAAAATAATTTTCTATAACAACTTACCCCTAATGCCATGGCATGTGCTATTCCAAATCTTGGTACATTTCTAGCCCATAATGGTTTAAAATGATCTGTTAAACAAATCTTTCCACCTCTGAAATATTTCAGAATTTCTTCAATTATATTATATTTTGTTTTTTTTTATTAGAATAAATGATCAGGATGTACAATGTTGCTATAGCAGTGAAGAATGGTTTACAATGATGTTCAATATGGCAGACTGTAAACTCTTGCATGAATAAAAATATAATGAATAATTGACCTAATACTGAGCACCACAAATCAATGATGTCAAAGTTTAATGCACAAAACATCATGATTAAAAAATGGCATTAATTGTTTTCCCAAAAATTCACAATATTAATTACATGCATTAAATTTTAAATTTACAGCAGGTATTTCTAGTAAGCTGCAATAAAAGTAATAAATGGAAGAACATATTAAACAATAAATCAATTACATATTTTCTGAATAATAAGACAATCGAGATGATGTGTGCTATTTCTTAAATGTAATCAATTTTTATTTTTGAATCAAGATATCATTAGATTATGTGCCAAAACCTGTAATTTTATTCTGAAAAGACGCAGAGAAGTTTCAAATTGTAAATAATATCACAATTATGCTATATATTTTTTTCCTTCACATTTAATTTTTAATGTATATACATGTTGTTTTAGTTGTATTGGTCTCTTATTTATCTGTACAGATTGACTTATGTATAAAATAACTGTTGACACAGAGATATGTCTCACCTTTTTGTAATTTGATAGCATAATGCAAATATTGAATCCAAATGGCAATATTAATCATGTAAACTATGCAAAACATTCAAAGTCAATGAACCATGACTTATGGTGCAGGACCAAATAACCCAATGGAAATGAGAAATGCCAATGCTTATAAAACTGCATACCAAATACCATTGACTTACAATGAAGGGTTCCCTTTACAATAACCTAAACACAAACTCAATTTGTAAACAATGTAAAAGTTTCAAAGATAATGAACCATGCTGATGTGGTGGGGCCGTATTATCACCATGGAAAAGAGACTTGCAAATGCTCATAGAACTGCATACCAAATATCACTGACTTAAGGTGGATCACCGGTAAATATTTCCTCAGATAGAATTTTCTTATACTTTGGCAAAATTAAGATTTTACTATGCTTTTTTCAAAAATATAATAAAAAGTATGGTTCACCGTGCTATTTTTCAAGCTACAATTCATGCAAAATTGCACAAATTTGCATAGATTGTTCATGAAAAAAAAAAAAAATCAATGTGATAGAATTTTGAAATAAAATATGAGAAGATAGGTTTTATAATATGCCTTAAGAAAATAAAAATAAAAATAGTGTCACCGAACTTGTTTTCTTGCTACATGTACATGTAAATAATGAAAAAATCACTATCATTCCAGTCTAAATCTTTTACATAAGAGTTATCTCCCCTTAATGTCTAAGTTGAAAAATTGATTCTAAAAACACAAATATTTGGTATTTGTTTAAACATTTTGGATAATGCAATAAAACACTTATGCAAGTGCTAATACAACTGCATACCAAATATCATTGACCAACCACTAGTGGTTCACCATAAACTGACCTAATCACAAACTAATACATTGCTGACACCGCCACCGTCGGAAACAGTATACCTAAGTCTCGCTTTTTAACTCTGTCAAGGCAAGACAAAAATGTATCTTTTATGATCGTATTGTGTAATTGTACGCATAAGGTGAGACGTAAATAAAATATTGAATTGAATGGAATACAGAGACTGCAGATAAAAACTAAAAAGTTAGTTGATTGATGACACAGTACCTATACATTTTAGCTGTTTTACCATCTAATTCTGGGATTGCTAATTCTGGTGCTGTGGTGGGATACATAACTGGAACCTGAAATATACAAAAAAAAGTGCATATTTTGTATATTTCATTTAATTTACACACTTTGGAACATTTCATGTTACATGTATGTACATGTATTATAATAGACTGTAAAAAATATCTAGAATTACTTTCATGGTGTAAAGATCATAATAAGAACTTAAGTTTAGCTAATTTTTCACTGAAGTTTGAACTTTAATCAAGCTTTCCAGTTGTGTATATTTTATAGTTAAGATAATACATAAACTGTTAACACAGAGATATGTCTCGCCTTTTTGTACTTTTGATAATGCAAATGTTGAAATTAAAATAGCAATACTTTAACATGTAAGTTATGCAAATATTCAAAGTCAATGAACCATGACTGATGGTACATGGCAAAACAATCTCCATGGAAATGAGATGTGCCAATGCTAATACAACTGCATACCAAATACCATAGACTTATCATAAGTCGTTCCCTTTCAACAAACCTAAACACAAACATTGACTTGTAAACTATGTAAAAGTTTCAAAGTCAATGAACCATGATGAGGGGGTGGGGCTATATAATCTCCATGGAAACGAGACTTGCAAATACCAATAAATTTGTATACCAAATATCATTGACTAAACATTAGAGGTTAGTCTTAAACTGATCTTATTACAAACTAATACATGTAAACTAGAAAAGTTTCAAAGTCAATAGACCATGACTGAGGGGGCGGGACCAAATATTCTCCATGGAAATGAGATATGCCAATGTTATACAACTGCCTACCAAATATCACTGACTTACCACTAGTGGTTCCCATTGAACTGACCTAATCACAAACTAATACATGTAAACTTAGCAAAAGTTTTAAAGTCAATAGACCATGACTGAGGGGGCGGAGCCAAATAATCTCCATGGAAATGAGATATGCCAATGCTTATACAACTGCTTACCAAATATCATTGACTTACCACTGGTGGTTCCCCATAAACTGACATAATCACAAACTAATACATGTAAACTAAGCAAAAGTTTTAAAGTCAATAGGCCATGACTGAGGGGGCAGGGCCAAATAATCTCCATGGAAATGAGATGTGCCAGTGCTAATACAACTGCATACCAAATATCATTGACCAACCACTAGTGGTTCACCTTAAACTAGACCTAATCACAAACTAATACATTGTTGATGCCGCCGCCGGAAACAGCATACCTATGTCTCGCTTTTTGACTCCGTCAAGGCGAGACAAAAACTAATAAAAGAACAGAGTTACAATGTCCCCCGCTTTGCACATATTTCATCTATCCAACTCCAAGGTACAAGGGCAATAACTAAAAAAATCGTAAGGGTTCCACGGAACCCAGTGTCTCGCCTACTTTTGCTGTTAGTTGTAGGCTCAACAAAAATGGGGAAAAAATTATTTAAAATTTTCCTCTAGATACTATCTTTTGATTGTAAGAAGCTTCTATCCAAGTTTGGTAAAAATCCAGGATGGTTTATGAATCTAATAAATGTTTTAAAAACTTTAACTGCAGACTGTACATGCTGTATGTAATGTTAACTGGAAGAAAAACTAAGTCCATTTATAAGTAATATAGGGAAAAACAGGAAATAAATTTTTACAAAATTTCCTTCTAGATACTAACTTTTGATCACAAGCAAGCTTCTGTCCAAGTTTGGTACAAATCCAGGATAGTTTAAGAAAGTTATTAAAATTTTAAAAACTTTAACCACAGAGTGAATGTAATGTTAACTGGCAGAAAAACTAAGTCCATTTATAAGTAAAATACGGTAAACGTGATTTTTTTTTTACAAAATTAACTTCTGGATACTATCTTATGATCATAAACAAGCTTCTTTCCAAGTTTGGTAGAAATCCAGGATAGTTTAAGAAAGTTATTAAAATTTTCAAAACTTTAACCACAAAGTGAATGTAATGTTAACTGGCAGAAAAACTAAGTCCATTTATAAGTAAAATACGGATAAACAGGATTTTTTTTTAACAAAATTTACTTCTGGATACTATCTTATGATCATAAACAAGCTTCTTTCCAAGTTTGGTAGAAATCCAGGATAGTTTAAGAAAGTTATTAAAATTTCAAAAATTTTAACCACAGAGTGAATAATCGTGGACGCCGCCGACAATGACGACAGAATGTAGGATCACTATGTCTCGCTTTTGTGACAAAAGTGGCAGGCTCGACAAAAAAGCACTTTTTGTTTGTTCTTTAAAACTTTTTATTAATATCTTAAGAGAAATGAAGGCTTCAGGGCAAATGCAATGATATTTCCATTATTTTTTATATTTCCAAGGGGCATAACTCTTTCAAGACATTGCTGATATAAACCTATGATACAAGTTTCATAAAAATCTGGCAAGAATTGAACACATAAGAGCGCTAACGATGCAATTTTCCATAGAATTAATGTTTCCAAGGGGCATAATAAACATCATAGAAAACACATACTTTAAAAGTTTTTGTGATGCATACATCTTGGAGATATTTGAAGTAGTTCTCCTGACTCATAGATAGAGAGTGTCTGCTAATTCACACCACAGTGTTGGCAGTATAATTAACAACAATGCACAATAGTCATATAATGTGCTTACAAGATTGAGTAATTTTCAGTTATTTTCTTTTATCATATTTTAACCTTTAATTCCTATACCCTAAGGTACAATATTTTCAATAATCCCTTATCTATAATAAAACAAACTTCCAACTACTTACATCAAATTCTAGTTCAAATTCATACTTGAGTAATTCATGTATATACCAACACTTTCCAAACCATCTGGTACCCTCCTTATTAGACTCCAATCTAAACCAGTCATTGTCTGCTTCCTTGTTGTTCTGAACATACTGTAATAGACATCAGAATAATGTTTAATTTACATGCAAGAACCACATGTATTTACTCAATAACATTGTGTGTTCATTTTTCAAGTTAACATAATAACAGTATCCATTGAACATTAAAGCTGAGCTGAACTCCTTAAATAACTTTAAACCTTTTGTTGCTTTAAGTAAGAGCAGTAGAGCTAAAATGTTCTCCCAAAATTACCATTATACCACTGAGGTTTAAGCCAAGCATGCCTGGCATCATAAGCTACCACTCTACCAACTGAGTTGAAGGGGTAAAATGCATTCCAATATCAAAGATAATTGACAGATATATAATTTTAAATTTTCTAAGTCAAGGGAAGCACCACTGAACTTACAATGAAATCTTTAAAAAAAGTGCTATAACTTTTTAAATTAGAAATAATTTGTTTATCAAAAAATAAATTTTAATACCTACATGAACTATATTGACCATGTACATGATACCAAAAAAAATATACACAGTTTTTCTGATGCAGTGACCTTTAACATGACACCTTTCATTAGAAATCCCACATCACACATGTACAACACAGAGGTAAAACTGTAGTAACGATCAGAAGTACATTGTAATAGGTAAATTACCAAATAAATCATTAAATATATATATAAAATATTCTAACATTGAATATCTGTGTAATTTTTGTATTTTTTAATGTCATTATTTGTAAAATGTAAAAATAATTGATAGTCTTAGCACATTTTACTGTAAATTTGATTTAGGAAAAATCAGTCATGTCAGCATTTACATTTAGCTTTTTTAATAATTATTTGTATAGACTCATCCTCTGTCACTGGTAACACCTGCCTCATATTCCAGCATTAATCAAAATGATGGTGGCAAGGAAAATATTATAGACAGACTTGTCTGACAGTCCCTCACATTTCAGACTTTGAGTTTGAGGACGAGTTATTTACGAAATAAAAATTTGTTTACACACTTTATTATAAAATTTTCCTTTAATTTATCGGTTATTTTTTATTTAAATTACCTTGTTTTAGTATTGTAACAACTGAACTCATATTGAGTTGCAATCAGCAGTTTTCAGGGGGTGAATCTGTATTGCAAGAACATCATGAAAAGAGGGTGGTAAAGGGTTATTTTCGTGCAACGTTTTTGGCCTTTTTATTTCTCGTTTTCTCGTGTTTGGTTCGATGTGCGTGCTTTGTGTTTCCACTTATTTATTTTCCGTGTTTCGTGTCCGTACCCTCAATTTCTCGTGCTTGTCCTGCATTTGATTAAAAAGTAAACCGGGACTAATTCAAAGTCAGCCCGGATATTGTTTTAAATTATGCAATTCTGTTGCATATATGTATGGTATGTTACAAAGTCCATCAAATTATTATGAATAAAAATTTTTCAAATCAGATGCAACTAGCGGACGCTTAAAGGTAACCGCAGGGTCTTCATGATCATTTCCATTAATAATGACTGTATGAGCTCCAATAGCTGCTGAATAATAACTTCTGCTTCTTTTTTCCTTAATATTTACGATTTTATTTCTCGTGCTTCGTTTTTCCCGATTTTTATTTTCCGTGCAACGTTTTTGCGATTTTTATTTCACGTGTTTCCGTGTTCAGGCCGCCCCTTCACCGCCCTCTGAAAACCATATGGAACGTTAACTTGGTCAGTTAAAGGGTTTGTAACATTTTATTTTAGCGGTTTTATAACTTTATTTTCTTTTTCAAACCTGTATAAGGGACTGGTATTCTTCCTTGAGTCTTTGAACCCAGAGTTCTCCATCTCTAGGTCCAGCTTTAGTTTTCAGAAGAGGAATCTGTGCAAGAGTTCGCTTCGTGGCTTCGTCCACCATGATGTTTGTTTATAACGTAAAAGTCAGTCGAGCGCTTTTTAATACAAAATTTACAATACAGTAATCAAGCGTCAATTTGACAGGAACTGTATAAACTGGTTCCTAACTATAAAATTTGTTCTTTTGAGCTAGAGGTAAAAAGAACAATTATCAAAACCAGGCAATAAAATGAATAAACACCAATCAAAACATGTCCTAACATTATGTTCGTAACTGCTGTGCGTGTTTGACAACACTGTCAACAGTTATCTATAGTTCCTGAAATGCCTCCCAAAAAGAAGAAGGGGAAGGGGAAAGGCAAAAAGAAAAAGAAGGATGGTAATTTAAGCTTTAAGACCCCTTCTGTCATGTCTGTAGGCCTGTGTCTAGCGAATTTTTCAAAGTGCAACAATGATTACAATATCAAAGTAACACAAATTCTAAATAAGAGACTAGCCACTTAGTGCATAATTTATACCAAAGGTAAACGTTGTTCACAGCAATAATATTTGGCACTGGCTACAATTACCCATATTATTATTCTTACTTCCAAAACTAATTACCGAAATGTATTTCCAGATAGCTATAGGTACCTGAATACGAATATTGCTGGGTTACAATAATACATGTATCAATTTTGATAGTTATCTCCAGTTATTGTTATCCACAAAATTTTACATTTGCAAATTATGACTTATTTGTGTGTAGCATCAGGATACTTTGAACTGTCTCCATATATATGTTGTTTTATCTATCTTTTTCACCTGTCCGTTGTATCATGTGTATGAATTCTAGTCACTTCAGCACCTGGTCCAATCGGCACAAGTTATAGTCAATTTCAGCACCTGGTTAATTTGGCACCAGAGGTAGTTATTTTTTTGCAATCAAAATTAATATTATGTTTTGCAAGTAAACAATTGAAGATAAAATTGAGAATGGAAATGGGGAATGTGTCAAAGAGACAACAACCCGACCATAGAACAGACAACAGCAGAAGGTCACCAACAGGTCTTCAATGCAGCGAGAAATTCCCGCACCCGGAGGCGCCCTTCAGCTGGCCCCTAAACAAATATATATACTAGTTCAGTGATAATGAACGCCATACTAAACTCCAAATTGTACACAAGAAACTAAAATTAAAAATAATACAAGACTAACAAAGGCTAGAGGCTCCTGACTTGGGACAGGCGCAAAAATGCGGCGGGGTTAAACATGTTTATGAGATCTCAACCCTCCCCCTATACCTCTAGCCAATGTAGAAAAGTAAACGCATAACAATACGCACATTAAAATTCAGTTCAAGAGAAGTCCGAGTCTGATGTCAGAAGATGTAACCAAAGAAAATAAACAAAATGACAATAATACATAAATAACAACAGACTACTAGCAGTTAACTGACATGCCAGCTCCAGACTTCAATTAAACTGATTGAAAGATTATGTCTTCATCATATGAATATCAGGCACAAACCTTCCCGTTAGGGGTTTAGTATCATACCATCATAACATATATGAGAAGAACATAACCCGTGTCATGCCAACAACTGGTTTTTAAATAAATGTGTTTAGTGCCGATGCAAAGACCCTATAAGTGAATCAATATTAACGCCAAAATATGCAATCTTTAATGACCTGACAACAGTATCGTAACTATATCCCTTCTTGATAAGTCTATTTAAAGGTTTTGTTAGTTTCAGAGGTGAATACTGACATTTTTGTGCTTTATAAAGAATATTTCCATAAAAAATTGGATGTGAAATACCTGAACGTATAAGAAGTCTGCATGTTGAGCTATATTTACGAATGATGTCCTTATACCGATGATAAAATTTAGTAAATGTTTTGACTAGTTTGTGATATCGAAAACCCTGGTGTAATAATTTTTCAGTAATACATAAATTTCTCTCGTTAAAATCTAAAACATTGTTACATACACGAGCGAATCGTACAAGTTGAGATATATAAACACCGTAAGATGGTGACAAGGGAACGTCACCATCTAAAAATGGATAATTAACGATAGGAAATGAAAAATCATCTCTTTTATCATATATTTTAGTATTAAGCTTTCCGTTAATGATATAGATATCAAGATCGAGGAAAGGGCAGTGGTCATTGTTAGTATTAGCTTTATTTAAAGTAAGTTCAACAGGATAAATTTCTTTAGTATACATACTGAAGTCGTCATTATTGAGAGCCAAAATATCATCCAAATATCTAAAAGTATTATTAAATTTGTGTAAGAATCCGTTTTTAAACAAAAAAAATTAATATTTTCACTCGAGGTGTCAACATATATTTGTTGCGCAGAACAGAAGTTCCAATTGGAACTTTGTTATAAATAATGGGGCCGTAATATCTGTTCCTATTAGAACTTATATTACATGTATAACAGATCCTCTATTTCATGACAACTGCACATTACTAGTAAACATGGGCTACAAGATGGGTGCCAATATTATTCAGTTATACAAGTAGACAGGAAATGCAGAAAAAAAAAACAATTTAAATTACAATCGGATTAGAATAGTTTTTATCCCCATCTGTGGATTAAACACCAGCTTGCCTAATGGCTTCTTTGTATTTTTTTTTAATTATAAAAGATAAAAAACTACCTGAAAATTGTAAACTGAAAATTAAAACAACAAACAGGTTATTGTTTGTAATTGATTGATTGTTGGTTGCTTAATGTCCAGTGGCAAATACTTCATGCATGTTCAGGATGAGAACAAATTAACAATAAATACAATAGGTAGGTCTGGTAATAGAGGTCAACTGGGTTGCAGGTAGGGAAAATTTGGACTGCCACAGGAAAATGAGGGTATGTTGGATAAGGTATATAATAATCGGATGTCAATGGAATATTATTTAACTTATTAATATAAAGAAGAATGAAGAACAGCTTGAATTCTGCAACAACGAGATAACTTCTAATTTCTGTCACCATGAATACACGTTTATTTAAATTTTAATTCATAATGAGTTATATCTTTATTTCTGATCCCATTTTATTTTTCTGTCTGACATAGGACGGTGCTCTTTGAACCTTCCTTCTATAAAACTACATGTACACAAAATTTGCATCTTGGAGCTGTTGAAGTTTATCATTAAAATCTTGAAATGATATAAACTTTTCACTGACCACAAATTGGGCATCTTGCTCATTTGTATCCATACTGAAAAATATTGAGTTGTTTTAATTGACCCATTATGGCAAAAGTGAATGTCGTACATTGTATTTGTAAATACATGTACATATGGAAGTTTAATCATTGTTAATGTTTTTTACATCATAATTCAATTGTTTAAATTTATTTCACAGATTGCTTGCAAATCAAACTTTTTTAGATCAGTGCCTGCATGAATATATTTTGCGGGTAACAATAACTGCAGGTAACAATAAAAAATAATGTTTTCGTATGAAATTTGAATCCCTGTCCTGAAATATATTTTGGCAATTAGTCTCAGAAGTAACAATAATTATTTCTTCTTGTTACTTTTTGCAGGTTATCATAGCCTTAGAGCCATAATATTTATTGTTTCATTGCATTAATAAATCTCATATCTATTGCATACAGAACTGTCAAATACAAGAGGAAAGACTGTGAATTTCAATATGTTTATCATTGAAAAAACAAAATAGTACATAATCCTTAAAAGTTTTTAAAAGATGAGAAATAGTTGAATTAAAATACAATTCGAATGAATGGAGATCTGGGGGCCTTAATACATGTACATGTAAGTCATTTGATCATGATAATGTATGAACTATTTTGACAGTCACGTTGTCTCTTCAAAGAAAGTCTTAAAATCGGGGATGATGAACATGGATTAATGCAAAATAAAAGGCCATTTTTATGAAGAAAAAAAGGAACACAAAAATTGCTCACATGGTGCTTATTTATCAATTTGCATGAAACACAGTTAATACACCTTATCGGTATTTGTCCACCATTCATGCCATTACTGGACATCATAGACGTACCCATATAATACTGATGTCATAAGTGAAAAATGTAATTATTCTGCTCTCATTAGGGCATTTTGAATATAGTCAATAAAATTATTGTATTGTATTGTATTGCCTGACACAGCAGTGAAAAGTGAACTGATTGTTGTATGATGTCAATAGTTCAGGTGTTGTAAAATCTCCGGTCAAATATGTTGCAGATTCTAAAATAGCTTCAAACACAAAAACAGGTGAAATAAAAATTGCAAACACATTACATGAAAATAACCCTTTACAACCCATTTTAAGAGTAAGAAGCTACCATATATAGGTCATTGTACATTTATGTTCATCTGTATTGGATTTATGCCCATCAGGATTTTTTAAGTTAAGAGATTTTTTTTTTTTTAATTGCTAGACATATATTTTTTTTTAATTGCTCTCCTTGGAACACTGTAAATACAGAAGTTGTGCTGAATTTCTCCATTTTATTTTTTATCTAGATTTAATGTGTAAATTAAATAATTTCTGGCACAGATAAAAGATATCATACAGCATTTAACATAAATCAAAAGCTTAGACTGCTGATATATTTGTTCTTTCTAACAGAAATTCTTCTGGAAACTTTGTTATAAACAATACTATCATATCTGCATTATTGGAACAAATATTCTATACCCATTATTCTGTCAGGTATCCAGTGGAAATAATATTCCAGAATATTCCTAGCATTTGGCAATAAGATTACAAATTTAAGGAACATTCATTCCATGACAAATCAAGCCAAAGCTTATATACATGCACAGGTCCCAACAAAGCAATGAAAATTCTTTTTAAGAAAATTCATTTATTGCTAATTTCACAATTCATTAATTTTATTTCATTTTATTACACTACTGACTGATAAAGATTAAATCTAGAAAGGGAGAGATGTAAGTGTATTGAAATTGTTTATCTTAAAGTCACTTAAGAACTTAATTACTTTAACAGATGCATACCAATACAATCATGTCTTATGATGTGTGGTATTTGTGTTAGTTGATCAGTTGTACAGGTATTAAAACCATGACAACTTTATTCTCTCTGTGCCATATAATTATCAACTATTTTAAAATTTACATTGTCTTCGTATTTTTCTAAACAATTTTACGGCTTCCATTTCTTAACACAAAACTTGATATACTGGTTAAGAATAGGTGGCCACCGTGCCAATGACATTGAAAGAGAAAGAAATTTGGGATTCAAGGTGGAATAAATAATAAAAAGCTGGGAAGGCTCCAATTATGAGTACATCAAAACCTAGTAGGTGAGACATAGGTTATAAATTTTATACAAAAAACATGGCTAATTTGCACATTTTTTTATTGTACATGTATGTAATTTCATCATATTTTTCTTATTATTGACAGATCCCATGGCAATGGAGCTTGATGACAAGTACAAGAAGACTGTACATGAAATTGAAGCTTTAAAGGACCAGTTAGGTAACTATTGACAGTACTTACACAATTTAATATTTTGTCCAGAAAGTTCTTTGTAAGCTACAGCAAGTATCAGTATTATACATGCTACAGTCCCTGTAACGTAAAAGTTAACACTTTTTTCATTCGGGAATCGTACGTACAGCGTTCGGGAATCGTTCGTATAGAGTTCGGTCATCGTACGTACATCATTCGTATAGCGTCCGTACAACGTTCGGTCAGCGTTCGTTCATCGTTCGTTCATCGTATGGTAAATGTCACCGTTTAGGGTTTTATATATCGTATGGTTCATGGTATCGTTAAGCGTTTTATTTGTCGTATGGTACATGGTATAGTTTAGCGTTTAGCGTTTCGTTTATCGTATGGTATGTGATATCGTTTAGCGTTTCATCAATCGTATGGTATATCGTTTTGTTAAGCATCTGATATATGTTAGGGTTTTATTTCAGAAAGTTATTTCAATTATTATTTTGAGTTAAAATAATTTAATATAAAAAGATGCGGGATAAAAAAAAAACAATTATAAGTTTGGATTGGATTAAATCTTCTACTAATATCATTATTTGACACTCAAATAAAATATATATTTATTTATTTATTTATTATGGAATATATATAAAACGAAGGGGAAACGTTTCCTCCCATATCATTTTGACATGAATAACATGAGACCAAATACCGCGATATAAGTCTCTTTCTTTCTCTCTCTCTCTCCTCCACCAAATATTTCTCTGATCCAAATATTTCCTTGACACAATAAATAATATATAATGTTCTATAAATGAGGCTTTATATGAGATACATGTTTTATATCTAAACGTATTAAAAAAAAAAAGACAAGACATCCATGGTATTTGTTGCCCTTAATGTCAGAGTCTGATATAAACCGAAAATTGCCAGGGATATATAAAAATTCGTTGACGACATCTATGGAACCAGTGTCGCTTGTGATTCCTGTTGTCGGTGTTAAAACTATTATTTTGACAGTAAAAAGTGCTTAAGTCCATGTATGAGTAAAATACCGAATTAAAAAATAACTCTGCCTTTTTTATATTTCTTTATTTTAGAGGTAAGCTTCTGGCCAAGTTTCACCAACTTTAACGCAAATCATTTACCTTAAATAACCAATCAATTGTATTCTAAAAGTTGTTGATTTGTTCTTTGTACGAATACATGCAATATTTGTCACTGGACGTTATGCATGCAATCGATGATCAAATACAAATCTACAGTATTTATAAACATACTGCCATTGTATATATGAAATAGACTAAATAATTTAAATTTTAATTATTTTACACATATTTGAAGGATCGAAATAATCAGTTCTACAAGTGGTTGTTATTGAAAGACTTGAAATTTTACAAATATCACATGCCTCTATGGAATTTCTTATCGACGCACCAAACATTTTCCTTTCATCGTGCATAGTTCATTTTCCGATTCACTTAAGGTTTCTAACGATCTTCTCACTTGTTCATTACATTCTAAAATTAAAATCCTACACAAGTTGCCAAAACTTTTATTCTCAGGCTAGACTGCGTAAAAGATGAATATTGTTTTGATTGTGTACACACGGTGTTTTGAAGGCCGATATCCAGTTTCGCTGAAAAAGAATTAATTTGCGCCACAACTTAATTACGCCAATTCTTTTTTTGCATCATTTTATTTTAAAAAACTGCAGCATTCATTTCCGCCAATAAAACAATCATTTAATTGCCCAAATGTTATAGACTTGTTTGCAAATGTTTGTTCTTAGTGCACTGATGAGGTCCTTTCCGGTATTTACAGGTACAAGTAGAAATACCGCAAAGGGCCTCCTAAATGCACTAAGAACAAAATATTGAACCAAGGACCTGATGGAATGATAGAATTGACACAAAAAACATGACATATAGAATGAGACTTTCTAAAAGTACATAATTTCAAATTTTATAATCATATCTTTAGTAATTATAAAGTTATTTAACAGTTGAAGTCAGTATTCTAATGTTACATGTACGTGTAAATAGGTTAATCGTTTCGAAGTAAATATGGCACAATTAAGTTCCATTTATTGGCGCAATTCATATTATAAGAAAAGAACAGATGGCCGCGATTCAAACCTTTTCAATATGATGGTAGTTGGCACAAATTACACCTAATCGTTCTGTCAACCTTGTAAATTCTTCGCCCGGGGATATGCATTTGACGTTAATCTTCCTTCAATAACTTTACAAGGTTCATTCCTCCTATTCCCACTTTTTATAAATCTGGTAAGAAAAGTTAAAATTTCATGTGGGAATAGGGGGAAAACTTGTGCAAACAAAGGATTATACTGTATAAACATTGTTTAATCAACTTTCAATTGACAAGTGTTTTTTTGATAGGTTAAAGGTTATTTTTGTATGTGTTAAGTTCTGTGTTTTTAATTCAAATTAATATGAAAGAAATGGAAACAAATATAAGTAAATTTATTTTATGTCTTTTATAACACAAATTCAACAGTAGATTCAAGCAAGCATTATAATATGAAACACACAATACAAGTTAACAGCACTAAAACAAACCACACATTGTAGCACACACATTAGAAATTCACTGTATATAAGTCTATGAATGTTTAATAATCTATTCAACGTGAATAAGGTGGGAGGCTGCATCACCAAACTGTACTGTTGTAACTTCCTAGTTGCAATATCTATCCATAAGCTCATCTAATCTGTTGTTGATTTCCACATACTTTCGTTTTTGGGCCACTCTCTTCCCATCGGCTGCATACTGGATCATGGTCAGGGCTTAGCTTCCTCATGTTTCAGTAGTTTTATGAGTTTAAAGATGTTTGGATGTGGGTGCTGGACATGTTTTATCAGCTTGCTTTGCCATCCCTCTAGATGATGTGTAGTCCTCAGTCCCTGTGTTGTGTAATGGTCTCATCAGTATTTTGTTACTTAGTCTGTAAAGGGCGTGTAGTTGCTGTTAGTATCAATCTGATCTATGTCGATTAGGGCATTGAACCACACATCTTCGACCTCAGCAGTAGGTAAAAGTGGAAGGACAGCGGCACGGCGTTCTATTTGATGAATGTTGTTGTCTTTCTTGTATGGAACCCGAATCCCCGCTCCTTGTGCTTTTCTCCAGATGCATTGTATAATGGAAAAAACAAACATCTTTGAGTAAAGTCAGGAACCTTGTGTATACATTTTTTTTGTACTAGTTCGCTCTTGGCTGGAATTAAACTGTGTACCAGTGGATACATTGCACCTTCAACCATTGTGTGAAATGTATAAAGTCTGTGAAATTTTCTTTTCGTCGAAAGTAACCGATAGGGGAGAATCTGATATTAATAAATTTTCGTCAATATTTATTATTAGGTTTTTAACTTCTTTTTCAAGTTCACCATTTTCATTTTGAAAGGAACCTATGGAGCTAAAATGGTGGAAAAGGGCATTATTTCTCTCATCCGTAGCCGTTTATATTTTATCAAAATCATGTGGATCATTAAGCTCTATATGTCCTATATCAGTTCGTTTTATTTTAAGGAAATTCCAAAACCCTTTCATTTTATTTTTTGCGTTTATACATTTTTCATTTAACTTTCGGATTTTAGCTGCCCGTTCTTTTCTTTTGATGGCCTCTTGTACTTGTGCTTTCCGATTAAAATAGAAATTTAGGTTTACAAATTCAATGATTTTTTAATCTTACTTTTGTTTATCTGATTTATTCTTTATTTTAAGGTAATTCTTTGAATAAGAAAAAAACATGTTACAAATAAACAGTGGATTAATTTTTTTTTTTCAAAATATACTTAAACAGTGAAAGAAATATGTGTTCTTTTAAAAAAATACAGGTAAATCTTAGGTCGATTATTAATTAACCTTGATTGTTATAAAAACAAATTATTTATCAAAACATCTATTGTTATTTTCATGTGGGAATAGAAGGAATAGTGATTTTAAAAAGTGGGAATAGGAGGAAGACACCCTTTACAATACCCAGTCGTGTCATTTCTGTATATTGTACATGTAGATAGCACGTGTGATAGATGTATATACACCAGAAATACTCATTCAAGTGAATTTTATCTTTTAGAAGAACACCATATCAGGTAACATTAAATATACATAAACATAAAATTACATTAAAAAAAATGGTAATAATAAGTTCAAATGTTGCTTTTTTAAATCATTAAATGCACCTAAGTACGTATTTGTAAACTTATGTTATTACTTTATTTCATGTATCTTTTTTGCATTCTTCTTTTTGGTTTAAATTACCTTCTTTTTTTTTGGTTATCTTATTGACTTATTCGTAAATCGAAAAACGCACAAACCTAAATAGAATCATATGGCATTTAAATGATTTCTCTAACTCAAAACTAGTTATAGATGCTTCTTAATTTTATTTTTCTCGTTGGGTTCCTTGTCCATTAATTGACGTATACGCCATATTCTTTTTTACGGTATTTGTGAAAAGCCGCTCATCGATCAATTTCAAAAGAAATCTTATACTCGTAAGTCATGAACATTGAAGTTCAACTTGCTATCAATTGTTCGTATACGCACAAAGATAAAATAAATATAACACTTTTAAGCTGTTCTGGGAACAGTATATCTAATATATATGTTCCTGAGTTGTTTAAATCATGCAGTGAATTTTGAAAATATAGTTTTGCAAAACCGGTTATTTCTGTTTAATACTTTTCTGTCCCTTTTCTTAATAATTAGGACATGTGTCACTGGTTAATATAGAACTAGTCAACCATGAATAATCCCAAACAACAATTTTTTTATTGGTTTGTCCTGAGACTACTATAACACATATAGTAGTCTCAGGTTTGTCATACTAGTACTTGCTTATATTATCAATTACGTATTGTTTTCGGCTGAGACTACTACATGTATAACAGTAGTCTCAGTTTTCGGAAATATTGTAACAATATCCTTTAGAATTTCAAATTGCTTTAGTCATTTAATATATATATATATATATATATATTTTGTTCATAATTAATAAATTAAGAT